CAGCCGCTCAACAAACGAACGCTTCTCGCGCCGAGTTGGATCAAATAGTTGAGCAAATGAACAATTTTTTGAAGAGTTCCAGGTATTTTTACGTGCTGTATTTGATAGAATGCTTTAACTATGGCCATTCTGTTTAGAAGTTCTCCTGAGCAAATTAGAGCTCTTGCCGAGGAGGTTCTTTCGAAAAAGATCAGCTTAACCCCTGAACAAGTGGCAGATCTTACATCAAAGGTTCTTATTGTAATTATGGAAATACGTACGATTAGATAGAATAATTTTATTTGATGTGATTTAGATCCGCGATTCTTTGGCGAAAATTAGCAATATTGGAGCCATTCTTGCAGAAACTCGCGGAAACAAGACCCTAGCATCGAATTTAGAATCAAAGGTATGTGTGGTTATGGTGAGCGTATAACAGTTTTTTTTTTGTATCTTGGAAAGGGTTTTTTTTTGTAAGTGAACCATGATCTATCTAGCACGGCGAAAAGGACTTCTTGTACAAACTGATGTTTCTTTCGCTCTTTTTTTTTCTCTTTATATAGACTACGTTTTCTTTCACATTGTTTCGAGCACAAGTATCTAGTGGCAGTTATATAGGCTCTCGAGGCAAGCGCTCGTGCTGCGACCATCAAGAATACTACAGACACAGTGAGAGAGGCCATTCAAGTTGCTGAGGAGGCTCAGCTTGCTGCCAATGAAGCCATACGATCTGCTGAAGAAGTGATGAAGCTGGCTAGGTATCTGCCAATCATGTTACTTAGGTTTTTTCGTCTATGTGGTTTAGATGAGTAAAAATTCCAAATTTAGGGAACATCTTGATGCTGCCAAAACCGAAGCAGATGCTACAGAAACGCGTGCTAAAGAGGTTAATGCAAGCTTGTCCACTCTTGAAGGTGAAATGAAGAAAGTGAAAGTACAATATCTGCAAATTGCGGATGACGCGAAGAATGCCTTCCAACTTGTTGACAAAGCTTTACAAGCTGCTCAAACTGCCGAACAAGGAAATAAGCAGATGACGGTGAATTGATTATTTCGCTTCACATTGATTTGATTATGATTGGTTTTTGCTTAGATGGATATCGAGGTAGCACAAGGACTTCTTTCTGCTCGAACTCAAGGAAACGAAGCACCGCAAAAGAGAGCAGAAGCGTTACGGCAGCGAGCTTCCAAGCTTTTATACAAGGCTCAAAGAAATAGTGATGATATTAGTGGTAAGCCATCTTGCGTATTTATTTCCATTCAGTTTCCCCTCAAATCTGTTCTGAACACTAAAGGTCGGAAATTATCGTTACTTTGTATTGGCATGATTTCGTTCTATTATATTAGCGACGCACGTTCGAAAAGGCGTAATTACGCCTTTTCACGTGTTCTTCTTTGCCTTTGATTCTGTGATATTGCGATGTTCAAAGGACGTTTGGAGATACATT